AGTCTCATGAGTTGCTTAGCACCTTGCTAAATTGCTGAGGCTGACTGAACTTGAGATCCTCCTGCCTCTGTCTCCTGAGCCATTAGGATTATAGGCATGTGCCACCAAGCCCAGCCTATTATTAATTATTAACTACCTATTATTACTAATTATAATGAATAATTATCTTTATGTGGCACTGAGGATCGAACCCAGGGCCTCACATATTCCTTACAAAGAAAACTGATGAATTCTCTCATTGACCCCAAAACTAAAGGAAAGGCCCAGCTATTCCATTTTGCTTTCCTGAAACTTCTCAACATATCATTGTAATCTATTCCTAGGGTAACTTCTCATCATTTTTATTAAAACAATTTCAATAATGCTGAATATGCAGACATGAAAATACTAAAAGACTGAAGACCACCAAAACCAACATCATTAACTAGAGTTGGAATTTCCTCAGTAAAGTATATTTGCTATGAACATACACCTTACAAGTGTTTTGATATCCCCGTATCACATGGACTCTTTTATTCACCATTATTTACACATTTTATAGGTATTGATAGAGGCATTCAACTGCATGTATAACTTTTTAAAAATGAAATTAACTTTTTCCTTTACCAAACAGTTTCCATCAGTCATGTATCAAATGGGAAACCTTTTCATCTGGAACTTCATTAACTATACGTTACTTTCAATGATGGTTGTAAATGAATCTATATATTCTCTATTATACTGTACAGTATGGTAGAGATTTTTAAATGATCCTTAGCACATCACAAATCAATAATAGTACATTTCATTTTACTACCCATCCCAATGAAATTGCCATGTTCAATATGCTATATACATTTCTGTAACTGGGATAGTTACCAGAGACCACTGTTCAGTAAATTCTGAGTACCATCTGGTGAAGGAGAAAAAACATATGCCAGCCACAACAAAATGGGTTTTTACTGATACAGACTTCTCCATAGCATCTGCTTCTCAAAAGGAGGAAACAGTATTGATCTACCCAATCTTAACCTATTTAACCATGGAGAACATGGTCATCTCTCTTTTTTTAACATTTAAAGCAAGATTTATTTTATTTTCTGATTGTTTTTCTCATACAAGATCATCTTGCATGTGTATAGAAATTTAAAAACAAAGACATTTCAGAATATACCCCTCTCCCCCCCAAAAGACAATTGTATTGAAATTATAATAGGCTGGTCCTCCATTTCCATAGCCTATGCCTCTGATTCATTCAGCCACAGTTTCCATGTGCTTACTCACTCTACCCTCTTGCTTTCCCTCATTCTCCCTTTCTTCCTCCCTCCCCATCCTTTCTTTAATTCCCTCCTTCCTTTTTAAACTTTGAATAGCTTCACTATCTTTCTAATTGGCCTTTCTAGTAACAGAACTCCTTCTAATGTCCCTTACCTGAATTAAAACTCTTTCTTGAAATGATGGTAAGCCTCCAGAAAGAACATCTTACACTTGATTCATCAAGTTCAATTCCTAAGGCTCTCAAATCTCTCTTGGTATGTTGAGGTCACTATTAGTTAATACTCTATAAATATAATTGCCACTGACTGCTTGTGCCATGGATGCTGTCCAAGTATACAGTTGAAACTTATAATATTGATACTCCAGGAAACTGTCAGTTGATTGCTTGATGCATTTAAAGCCTTGTTGCATCAGGCTTCCACATGGTCTTTTTCAAAGTTTCAGAGGCAAATAGTTCATATTCTTTGACAATTTTTAGGCAATAGTTCATATTCTTAGACACAATTCTGTCATCCTGAATATCTTAATGGCTTAAGGTTCCTTCCACATTAGCATGTGGTTTAGTCAAAAGAACAAAGGAAAGTCCACCCTATGAGAAGGATAGTTGGTGACACGTTTTTTCCATACTCAGCTAAGTCACAACATACCCACTTCAGCTCAGGGGTAGGATTTCTCTCCAGGATAAATAGAATCGATGTGATAAGTATTAAGCAATAAAATCAGACCCAAATGAAAATTCCAACCAGCTAATATTGAAGGGAGGCATCAAATATATCTGATATCTTTTTTGGTAAATAACAAAACCAGAGTTCCCTTGTAGTTGACTTCATTGTTGATCTCCTTCTCAGAGAGGGAAAAAATCCAGGATCTTCTTCCTGAGTTGGCATTGTATCTGAAATAGATGAGTGTTTTTCTCCTGCTCTGAGACATATTTTTAGGAAAAGAGTGATGCATCCCACCTTCATTACACATTTCCATCTGCCATTTTTTACCTATTTATTACAAGATTTTACTACTCAGATGTGTCTCTACTGCTTACCTACATTGAAAATGGCTGGAATAACCCTGCCTTGGCTTCTCATCTCTATTTCCTTGGAAGAAAGAGAAGAAAGGTAAATAATCATTTAACACATACACACACACACACACACACACACATACACCCACTTCTAGGCAATTAATCAGTCTTAGTTTAGACACATGAGGTGAGTTCTATCCAGTCCTTCATTTCCTTACCAGTATGCAAGTCAAATTCAGAGGAAATGAAATAGTACTCTTAATAGAGATGCCTTCTCTTGTTGGGATATGCGAGATAACACAACTAGATGTGGCAAGGTCAAAGACAATTTATGTTGGAAAGATAAATGTGTGTTAGTGCATCATTGTTCTCCACTTGCTCTACAAGCATGTGCCCAAAACACTTCCAGTGGTTTTTCTCTGGAAAATATCTAAATTGATTCATTAAATATTTAATTATTCATTAAATATTCATTAAATAAATATTAAAATACTTATTGATAAGTCCTTCATGTGCTTATCAATAAATATTTTAATCACCCAATCTAGTTCTTCTTTGTGGGGAGGGGAGTTCAGATACTTTTTAAAGATGAGCTTTTAACTTTGTTTTCATTTTTATAACACATAGGAGAATCAAGCCTTGTTGCCCCCATTGGATGGAATCCTGGGTGCACACTCTTTTATAACTGGTTCTATGACCAGGTGACAGAACCCATGATGACAGGACTTTTACCTCATCTTTATTGTTTCCTATGACCCCTGTGAAGTTATCTTCAAGTTTAAAAACATGCCATCTTTTCTCAATTACTTTCATTGTCAAATTACCATGATCAGATGTACCTTTTTTTTTGAACTCTGGTTTGCTTTTCTTGATTGTACCATAGAAGGGCTCATTCCAGGTTTTAATCAAACTGTTACTAAATAAAGGATATGGAAATTGGTTAAGTTTTTATGATGCTACGTCTATTGGCTCATTTTGATACATATACAACTGATCTGATGAATTATAGCCTAGAAGACTGGGTTTCTTCACAATATGTTGTTTCAAATCTTTTAAGTGTCCTAAGATTTGGCTAGAATCAAAGGTAAGCAAAGTCAACATCTAACATGTAAGTAACAGACATCTTCCAGAGTTTAGTCTGAACATGTCTGCCTGGTACTTCCTGAATAATTCGTGCATCAGCATAACATGTCTTTAATTGTGCTACTTCAGCTACTGCTCTTCCTTTGTAAATCTCTCAAAACCTCTTTTGTTCCAGACCCCATTAGAAGTCATACTTTCTTTAGATTGCTTGATATATAAAGGTCAATAATATCTTGGGTGCAATAAATGTATCTTTCAAAATCCAACTAGCCCTAGCCCTAAAAATTATTGTTCCTTCCTTATTAGTATGGCCTGGCAAAGATGCAGAATATACCTACCAAGAAGTACATATTTTCATTACTGTCTGCTTAAAGTTTTCTATAATACACTCCCAAGTTTTCCCTTCAAAATTGAACTGAATGTCTTGTCACGGTACTCATTTCTGCCCCAGGTTCCTTCCTTTTCTGATGAGGAATTTATCATGATAGTATAATTATAATGAATCAATTTAGTGCAGATAGATAGATGATCAAGTAAAAGTGCATCTCTCTAGTTTATATTAGCACACGAGAGTTTACTAGGATGGTAGATACTAGGATGTACAATGTATACTGTGACTCTTTCCACGAGAAAGTAAATTAAGCCTGGCTTTCTTTTGATAAGAAGAAAATTATGCAACTTTGAAATCCTACAAAAGTTTTTTTTTAAGTGAATTTTACTTTTTGACATATTTACAAAACTTTTTTTTTGTCACAAATCCTATAATCTTTGAGGGGAATTAGATGCAAAACATACCGATGCATATTATTGTTCCTTTCTAGCTCGGTTAATCCAACAGTGGCCATGTCCACAGTTAACTCTTACACTATTAAATCACCATCCTTGGCAAGGCACAACCTGAAATGGGATGATCATTTTTTTTTTTCTTGCTCCCTGGACAAAGTGATTGTTCCTGGGTGGAGACACATGACTCAGACCAGATCAACTACAGTTCTTTTGTACAATGAAGCTAGGAAAGAAAAGTGCTCTTTCTTTTCTGATCACAAAGTAGAATAAATGTGAGCTTGATGCTTGGATACAGAAGGCTTAAGATTTATCAAGAATGCTAGCCTGAGAGAATGACAGCAACACATAAACTTGAGGAATGAAAAGGGGCGTGTGAGAAGAGACAAAGATACAGACAGATAGACATACAGAGAGAAAAACATCATCCCTGAGGCAGTTCAATCCCAGAATTTTGTATGGTTTGACTGACAATCCTGTTTTTATTCATATACTTCAGATTAAAGTTTTTCACTTGTAACTGAAGTAACCATAAAGAGTGATCAAACTATAGTCCCTGTCAGTATTAATATTGTGTAACCCTCATTATGTTAATCACCACATCCTGGAAAGGTTCAGATATTAAACAAGAAACAACTTTAAGGTAAAATATACAACATTAAGTGGGGACCCAAAGAGAATAAAATTAAATACTTAATAAATAAGATAACATAAGACCAGTTTTGATACTCAGCACTGCAAAATAGATAGATAAAATGAGGCAAAATTAAGACAAACAAGGTAAAGATTAGAAGATGCTGACAAATCTTATTAAAATAAACTTTTCCCCCAAAAAAATCACACATACTCAAGTTAGATCTAGATTATATAAATGATATTTTATTTCTCATAGATATACAATATAAATTCAAGAAAAATTATGACTATCTTTCACAATTAATGATAAAATCTTGCTGTTCCTAGTTATTGCAGAGACTATGATTTTGCAGATACTATTAATCCTAGAAATAAACAGAATCCACCCTTTTACTCTTAGCTACTTCTCTCTTCCCTGATGTGGCAAAATTTTCAATTTGTGTAAGATTCACATATTTATATTCTTCTTTGCATACTTGATAATTCACTTCTGGGCACTGAAAAAAAAAGGAAACAAAATATTTCTAGTGGATTACATGGTGAAAAGAAACTGGAGGGAAACGGGGCACTGGATAACCAGAGTCTAAACACCTGACTTCAGAAGCATGTACACCATGGAGATGGAGAGCCCAAATAGCAGAGTCAGGCCAGCAAAGTTAGTGTGTGAGACTTTCTCTATTGTTTGAGAGTAAGATAGAATTGGAGAGGACATAATATTATAATTTGATTTTCCAAGAACTAAAATAACATAAAATAAAACGAAATATTGAATAAAATAAAATGAAACCTCTGTCTCATCTTTGATTGTAACAGTACAACATATACTATGTGCAGGTTGATGTAAGAGAACACACATAATGCCAAATCTGAGACCATAAACATAAAAGACATATTCTCTTGCTAGCACAGACCATATTGCCTATAGAGAGAGGAAGATGAGGGAGAATAGTCCAAAAATTCAAGTCATAAGTATAAGATCAATACTGTCTTGGGTGCAATAATCCAACTAGCCCTACAAACCATTGTTCCTCCCTTATTAGTAGGGCCTGGCAAAGATGCAGTATACACACACCTAGAAGTACATATTTTCAGTACTCAATGCATAAGTATAAGATCATAAGGAAGGGACAAATAATCAAATTACACCTGATAAGATACAGTGCTGATTACCAATCCAGTTCTAAGTATATTTGATGCTATGTCTCTTAGCTCATTTTTGTACATATACAACTCGGATATGTGTATTCTGATATGATGATGTATAGTATAGAAGACCGAATTTGTTCACATTATGTTGTTCCAAAACTTTAATGGTGTTCTAAGCCATTGCTATAAGCAAAACATAAGCAAAGTCAACATCTAACATGCATTTATTCTAATCAGGACTTAGTGGAAGTCACTCAGGTAACCACTAAAGGTTCAAGATATTTTACCTGCTGGCCTTTTCCTTCAGAGAATCTTACCCAAAATCTACTTTCGGAAATTCTCTTTCTGCTAGCCTGCTGGATGTGTTGTTGCCATGTTAGCAGTTTCCATAAAGGAGTCTGCTATGGTTCCACCTACTATTTATAACTTGAGCATCCTTTTTCAGATTATGCACACAAAGAGATGCATCCAAGGAATGGGCAAGTGCATCATCAGCCTTTGGATTCTAACCTTTATGAGACAACAACCACTTTGTATCTGGTGTTCACTGATATGTTCCATTTGAAGTCTTTCACAGAATCCCGCAAACTTCCATGATGTAATTCTACTCACAGTGCATTTTAATTATATGATCATGTGGATCCTATCTTCAGTGAGTGCAAAGATAATGACCACAGCATGAGTCATAAAGATACAGACATTACCCCCGGTGAAAATCCAAATTTCCTGCATTCTTAGATATGCTGCCTTCAGTTCTACACATTGTATGGACTTAACTTTGCCTTTTTCAAACAACTTTTTACCATCAACAGGGTGAGAGAGATTAGGCTTCCAACATGCATTATTTCTCTCAGTTAAGGGATTCCCTTCAGGAAACCAGGAAGCTTATGTTGCTTTAGTAGGATGAGAACCATAGGTTCTGACTTTTGGTAATAGAAACTAGCAATTATGATGGTTCTATCGCCTGCCTCAAAGGCAGAGCTGCATTCTGCTTATGGATACATTTTCCCAAAGACACCCTTAAGTTACTATTCCGTTTCCATTATATCCACCACTGGATCCATTATTACTGGAATCTCTCTCTGACATTACTCAAGCCTAATTAGTGTTTCAGGTCTCTTACTACTTGGATTCCCTTCAATAGTGGGAGCTATTGTCAAGGAAGTCTTTTGAAGTGACTCTATTAGTTGCTGCCATCAGGTAACATACAGGTCAAACTACCCAATCCAATTCTATTTCCCAAGCAAAGAAACATATTCTGAGACAGGAGGCCAAGGATAAAACAAGGGATTTTCAGACTGTGAGAATGACAGAGATAGATCATTTCAAAAATTTTGTCTTAAAACAAGACAGGGAGGAAGAGAACTAGTATGAATTCTCCAGAATATATTGAAGGAGGTAAAAAGAGGAGGCAGGACAGTGCAACCAGCTAGTGGGTTAAAGGGCAGGTCTAATCACAGGGCAAGACTCACAAGGAGACAGAGAACTAACCGCAAGGTATACAATAGATCCAGGAAGGAAGTAGCGAAGTAGATACTTTCAAATTTCTACACCACCAAAAGCATCTACCTGTTTATTCAAAAGGCAAATCCTCTAAGAAGTCATCTGCAGCCCACAGCATCTGTCTCAGTGCAGAGAGGATTAGAATATCCTTCACAGGGTTCAGCTCCCACTCAGAGACATAATTGCTGACCACCAAGATGTCAGAAAGAGCAAATCCAAGTTTTCTGTGGACTGTCTCTAGCTGTCATACAGAAATTAAAACACATGGATCTTGACACAGTAAAACAGATATGGCAATGAAAATAATAACAAAAAGTAGGAACTTAGCAATAATTTTACTATTGTTAAAAAATTGAACATCTGACCCCATAAAGTAGTTTCTGGAAGAACTTCATTTTGTCAGGTTCTAATATCACTGATAATTTTCATTTAGAATACATGCAATAGATTCATTATAAATTAGAAACAGAAAGTATAGTTTCTATTAGAGAAACTTCTATGAAATTGAAGTATTTTCCACATACACTAGAGTCCATGATTTTCCTGTTTCTCTTCACAAATTATTCTCAGAATAAGTAGAGTTGACTAGACTAATGCTTAATTCTGGCTTCGACTAGTTTGTCTCTGGAGCCGAACTACCTGAGTTCACAGTATGGCTCTGTCATTTCTTAGCACTGTCAATAAACATTGGAAATGCTGTATTCTGTGTGCCTTTTCTTTCTCATCTATACAATGTAGTAATGACGGGATACATTTCATAGGATTGTTGTTAGCAAATGAATGAGAAAAACTATCACATAGTGCTTAATGAATATTAACTATTATTACATTTTGCAACTGGTGTCCCCACAGCCACATCCCTTTGGACTCTAATGTATCTGCCCACAGTGGCAAACAGATTAGTTTCTGTGAAGCTTAGCTTTGAACATATTGCCACCCTTTCAAAAAATTGCTAGGATTCCCCACAATGCAAAAATTAAGCAACATTATCTCATGCAAATATTCCTTTCTCATTTTACCTCCCTCTGCAAAGACCCAGTCCTCCACTAAATTGAGCAACTCCATGCCTCCAGGCAGGCTGCTTTCTCCTCCCTTAAGATATTGACTTTCCCCAATTTGTCTCTTCACTCCCTATTTCTCCTTGAAAGCCATTTCCCAGTGCCACTTCATTGGTGAAATCTTCCCACGTGACACTTTCCTCCTCTAAACTTTGAAGGCACTTTGTTTTTAGTCATTTCATGTTACCTATCATACTTAATCATATCATATTGTTTTGTCAATTTTTTCTTATCCCACTTCCCCACCCTCTCACCCACCTATGAAATGATAAACTTTTTAGAGCAGGGGAACTGTTATAATTATCTTGAATCTAATTACAGACTATCATACCAGCTTGATCTTAAGGTAATCAATAATAGACTTAATTGAACTGAATTACAATGAATGCAATTATTAATCAGTATCATTGTAAAGATTATATAGGTAGATATAGAGATAGATTATAAACACACATGTGTCTTTGTGTACATTTAATATTTTAAAAATTGAGAATGAGTCCTAATTATCTAAGAAACTATTTTAATTCTTCTTAAATTCAGTATATGTCTATTTTGTTTTTATACAAATGTAATGTTATCATAGTGACATATCCAAAAAAAATGTGTTTACATGAAGCATAATTCATTACCTTGAGTTTCACAGGCACACAGCTATAGATGTCTGGGAAGTCACCTACTGTAATCAGATTGATGCTATCCACATGAGTGAGCAAAGCCAGATGTACCACACCTACATCAAACAGATACATATTGTTTTTATCATCACACACAGCATCAGTATTTTAAAGTTAATTAACTGTCAACCAGGCCATAGGTTCCCCACGGAACAATTTTAGATTTGGGAAGTTCCCCCACATCCACCCCTCAAAAAAAGTTCTCCTGGATTATTCACAGTATCTGGAATTTCTCTGACATGGGAAGTCCCCTTCATTGCATTCCATGGTGAGAAATGAAGATAAAAATAAAACCACATTTTGGGAAAGGTAAGTAAAATTTATGCTACAATATTACTAATTCATATTATAGAGAAAAGACCAAAGGGCTCTAATGAAGATATTGGGGAGAAGAGACATCAAGGAGACAGAATGCATCAGAACTTCACAAATAAAAAGTTTTTAGCAAGCACCTCTCTATACACCACCATTGCAAGATTTTAAATTTCAGTGAGCAGGTAAATCCATCATTTCCTTTTTCTAATTTGATCAAATTTGTGAAAAACTGACTCATTCCCACTCAAAACACATAAAGCCAAGAAAAGTCAAACATGGGGCATTTTAACTCCCCGATCCTTTTTTCTTTCTCCAAAGCCTTTCTGCTGCCTCTCCCTATAAAACAGATTACTTTTCTGCTTCTTTGTGTTTTTCTTGCTGTTAAGTACAGTTAGTAATGAACAGTGAGGTGAATAACAAGGCCACGGGTCTTCTTTAAATTGCTTTTTTTTTTTTTTGTCAGGTGCTGGGGATCAAACTCAGGGCCTCACACTTTAGAAAATCACTCTACTACTGAGCCACATCCCCAGACCCTTTAAGTTACTTCTCAAGTTTTTATAAATTCCTTCCAAGGCAGATGTGTAAATAACTTGTAGCAGATAACTTGTAGGAAAAACATCAGATGCACAGACCTTGAGAAAAAGCAAACAGAAGCAAAAGGAGCTCACTGGAGAGCTAATTGGGGAAATATATCAAGAAAGAAGGATTAATGGGACTAACTCTTGACAGGGTGCACTGAGGTCAGGGTAAAGCTAACCATTATGGCCATAGGTATCTCCGTATATTTCATAATAGAGATTTCTTTAGTAACGCAGACACAATTAGGTAACTCCTGTCCAGCCACTGACCCCAGCACTAACATAGGATCAACTGTAGAGGAAGATCTCCTGAATAGGATGGGCACCATGACAGTTCCACAAAGGACAAAGTAGTGTTAAAAACTCCATGGCCTGGGAGCTGGGGTTGTGGCTCAGTGATAGAGCACTTGCCTGGCATGTGTAAGGCACTGGGTTCGATACTCAGCACCACATAAAAAATTAATAATCAAAATAAAGATATTGTGTCCGTCTACAACTAAAATATTAAAAAATAAAATAAACTCCATGGCCTAACGTGAAGGAAGAGTTGAACACATGATTGGCAAAGAGCAAAGAAGGAGGACCCAAATGTACTGATTTTATTGATTAATAAGATGAGGCATATCATGCCAATGAATCAGGAGAGATTCAAATTTGCGATTACGTAAGTCCTTCATCCTGCCCTACCCCCAAAACATTCTGCAATAAAGTCTAGTCAATTACCCCTAGTAGCAAAGTGGATTGAGACTCACCATACTTTATCATCTCCCTTCGTATTCTCTTGATCTTTGCCACCATCTCACGAGAGAGTTGTTCAACAGAGGTGGCATCAAACACAAATGCCACACAGTGGATTCTGTCCTGCAGTGATGGGGAATGAATATAGTTATGATGCCTTGATGTGATGGGTTCCATAGAATTAAACTGTAAGGGAGAAAGAAAACAATGTATGAATCAACAAATATTTATGAGCATATGCTATGCACCAGTCACTGTACAAGTGAACAAAACAGTGAACAAAAGAGACAAATCTCTAATATTACAAGGGTAACAATTTGGTAGAGAAAATCGTCATTATGTATGTAGGTGGCTGCCCTTTTACCTAGTCAGATAAGGCTTCTGTGAGCAAGGGTCACACAACATGAGGGCTAGAAAAAGGCAGAGTTAGTCTAGAAAAAGTATTGTAGATAAAAGAAGTCATGTGGGGAAAGACAGATGGAAAAGAATTCACAGAAAGGTAGTATCAACAGGCAGAGAGTGGGAAGGGAAATGCTTTAAGATGCAATGGATGTCTTTACTCTTAAACTAGCAATTGCTCTGCTGGGATCTGTCCTACAGATAGAGTAGCAAAATGCAAAACTATGTAGAGAGAAGACAAGGCTGTTTGCCATAGGACTATTTGTAGCACTAAAAATCTGATATATCCATAAAATACAGTGTTCTACCACTTCTCTAAGAAAAGGAGAAGCACAAATCTATATGAATTTTCTTATATATTAAAGAAATAAACTGTAAACTTTTCAGGATTACTTGTAGAAAGAGGGAAGGAAATTATTTGAAGGTGCAGGGAAAGTAGATTCCTTGAATACTAAAGAAACAACTTGTTATTTCAAAAGTTCATAAAGTGGACAAAAATTCAAGCATATTTCAGACTTTTCTTTTGTATAACCACAAAATATGTAGATGAGGGGAAGTTTTTCCTTCATGTGTGAAAGGATGAGGAATGATAAAAGTAGAATATCACCATTCTTACGTCCTTATTAGTAAATGGATATAGAAATTGAACATGAGTAAATAACAACACTAGAGAAGCAAGAAAACCCAAAACATTTATGTCCTCATGAAAGAAAACAACACCATCTATGAAGTAGAATCTGATTCAGAATACATGTCCATATTCAACTACCAATGGTCAGGATCTACAGAAAACAGAGGACCACGTAAACCACACAGAAGGATACAAAAAGTAGAGTACAGAGTGCATAGAAGTCTACAGAACATCCAACTGGATATCTTAAAACAAATTTTAAGAAAAAATAAAACATATAAAGACAGGATATATAGGCTAAAAGGGATGGAATATATTTGATTTATTTTTCAGAAAAAGTCTTACATGTCTGATACTTATATAAGACTATTAGAGATTTGAATATTGAGCAGTATTTGATGAGGAACAATTGAACATGTTAGATGTGATAAGGGTCTTTAGCTATGTTTAAGGAAAGATATATGCCCCTGTGTATTTATCTGTATACTTTTTAAAAAAGCAAACTGAAACAGTATCTACAGGTTAACCCTATTTTAAAGAATGAAATAAATTTACATGAACAGAAAATTAAGTCTCTGCTTCTGAATAGAAACACTGGATATGTAAAGATATGAATAAACTTTCAACATGAAAATGTTAATAAAATTTCAATCAAAATAACAAATCAAGCACAACCAAACATAACACAAGAAAGCTTGCTTCAAAAAGGATATGTGTTAAATTGTCAAGAAAAACAAGTCATAAATAAATAATAAATGTGACTTATCAAGTGATTAATTGAGAAATAATTGGCTGCTATGGTAATTAAAAAATTAATATGGAAAATTAAAATGATATTTTAAAGGAATAGAAAAATATATCAATAAAACAACAGAGAATAAATGAACAAATGATGGTGGCTTTGACAACAAATATTTATTTCTCACAATTCTGGAGATGGTAAAGTCTAAGAGCAAGCTACCAGAAGATTTGGTGACTATTGAGGTTCCTCTTTTGGTTCACAGACAGCTATCTCTATCCTTGAAAGCAAAGGAGATTGCGTCCCAAAGCCCCACCACCAAACCATGACTTTTGGGTATTTAGGGCTTTAACATATGAACTTTGAGGTGGTGGAGGACACAACCATTCAATCCTCAGCACCCGGAGCTGAGATGTCTAAAGGGTCAGAAGGATTTCTGAAATTACTTAACTTACAAGCTTCTACACTGGCTCCAGTCTACCTACCTTCAGACTTCTGTTACATAAGAAAAATTACCTTATGGGAAGTTGAACAGAATTTATGGCTGTTATGAAGCCATGACAGAAAGTCCTTGAAATATTTTTATTCTTTGTGAAATTCACCACCAAAAATGAACACAGAAATTTCAACAAGTATATTTTAAAAAGAGGAGTGCTGATGCACTAAGTTAAACCAGGCTCTGATGTCATGGATAACAGGCAAAAATACACATTTTACAAATCAATTATAATTTTTTAATGATTAGCTTAATCTTACCTGATATCTGTCAGGAACGTGGCCTTTCAAGATGGAGACTATGTCTTCCGCACACAGGCCTTCCTTCTCACTCAGCCCCAGTGAGTCACACAGAATAAAGGGCAGGCATTGGCCATCATTCACATCCTTAATGGGATACGTCCTGTACTAAAAAAGGGAATAAACAAACTTCAAATGTACGTTTTTTGTTGTAAACTGTGATAAAGTCTACATGCAAAGAAGAGAGCTAGGGGCAAGATGGGCACTGGAAAACTATTGTCCTCAGTAAAAGCCTTTTCAAAAATAATTGCCTTGAAAAAAGAAGAAAAAGTTGGGTTGCCTAGAATATACCAACCTTCTTAGAAATCCCAGTTGCATCACAGCCCACCAGCACCTGATTTGTCACATGGCCTCGAAAAATAGATTTCACTGAGTTGATAAAGCTAGATTTCCCAGCTCCAGTTGGACCCAGCAGCAGAATTCTTATTTGGTGAACCATGTCTTTATATGGCTTATAAGTACTCATGGCAAACAGCAAGGTCCTCTTGAGCCTATTTAAACACATTTTTTTTTACAATGACTGAGATTAGACCACAGGAATTTACCATAAATTTTCCTAGAATTTATTTCTTTTCCTATGTATAATTTGTCTTATTATTAGCAGTTTTTCTTCTTGCACAAAGACATGCAAATGACCTCTTTTAAATTCTATTGTAAAAGAAGGAAAAGCAAAAATAACAGTTGAAACTAAAGTCAGACATAAAACTTTTCAGACTCAAGCTAAAAGACCATATACATTATTAGGAATAAACATCAGCTGTTAAACATGAAGATAAATCAATAAAAATCTTCCAAAAACATATTATATCACATTTGAAGTTTATAGAAGTTAAGGATTTCTAACATGTCCTTGTACACCATTACCAGATTTTCTCCAGCTGAAAACCAACCATTTCTTTCACAATAGTTCTCCAAAGTAAACAAAAACAGACATTCCATCAAATAATTTTTTAAAGTATATAATAACATTAGAATTTATTCTCTCTACCCAGTGTTGTTCTTGTTCTTGTTTCACAATCATACTTTTAATTTATTCTAGACAATCTGCAAATTATCTGTGATAATTTGTGTTGCCATTTTTTATTGATAGAATCTATCATAAAATAAGTCAAAAATCATGAACAGAATAGTATACTGTTAAAAATATTAACTTACACAATGACTCCTTCTTCCTTTCTTTCGTCCAATAAATCTAAAGGAAAGAAAAAATAAAGTAGATTATGAATTGTTAAATGATTGATTGTCTGAATGAATATGAACAAATTCACTAGGGACAAATGCACAAATAGCCTTGCCATGAGGATAGTGCAGTACAGTAAAAAGCAGGCTGAGGAAATGCTGGCAAATCTCATTAATATCATCTTGTTTGCAAAGAAGAGAGCTAGGGGCAAGATGGGCACTGGAAGACTGTTGTCCTCAGATCTTTCTTCACCCAATTGCTTATCAACAGTGGACCATTCATTCTAACATGGGCCTTAGGGGTGGGAGTGCATTCTGAAGCTAGAGCTAGAGGAAGGTAGATGCAGGGAAAAGACTGGGAATGCTCCAAGGTATTTTCCCTGAAAAAAATCCAACAGGTCTGAGATGATAATGTACAGAGACACTCAAACAGCAAGGGGGAATCAGACTTTCTTCAAAACCTGCTATCAACAATTGGAGCTCTAGGAACTTCATGTCATATCATCCCTCACCCCAGCAGAATAGAAGATAGGGCAAGTGATGTGGCAATCAAAGAACAGTGAGTGGTCGAGGTGTGCCGAGGACTTCTTTCAGACCCATGAGTTTCAGACCCACAGGTTTTTGCTTCTGGGAAAGGGACATTGTTTTGTTGTGGATTTAAAACCATAAGGATTAGGTTTAGAGATACTGGCAATCCTTTATAAACTACATAAAAAGAATAGAATGTGAAAACCTTGTTTATATGGCCACAAGTAAAGTAACAGAGTAAACTTCATTAAATCACCAAGGGTAGTATTCATAGACTTCATTCAATGACTATAAAAACTAGAAAAGAATAACTATTGACAAACAGAAAAGCAACTTCTTGGTATTTTACAAAGCATTTTCTTAAATAAATATGATAACCAAAAAGAAATGTAAAAACCAAAATTATAAATACATACCAATTCACAGTACAAACACCTTATGTCAACCTTGTGATGAAAGCACATTTTATTAATGATAAGAAAGAAGAAAAGTTGTGAAAATAGAACATAGGAACAGAAACAATAAGTGAACCAATCTTTGGAATATAAAAATGAATAATTAATAAAGATAAATTTTAAAACTAGAAAAAGGATACTTATTAATATGATGATTAATTATTCTAAAATGTGAAATAAATTACTAATGTAATCTAAAGAAAGCCAAATTCACTAAACGTTGTGCCACCATGCACATATCAGAATAGTACATGTTTTAAAATTGTTAATACAAAGCATTGAAGAAGATTTAAAGTAGATAGAAACTCTCATATACTATTTGTCGTAACAGAAATAGGTACAACTACATTAAATATTTTGTTAGTATCCACTGAAGCTGAACATAAGCATATGGTATAACTTTATAATTTTATTCTTGCATTTTTTAAAAATATGCATATGTGTGCACCATATATGGTTTCATCATAATGTACTTTGTAAAAATGAAAAGGGATGACTCACTATGCAGAGAGAGAGTTAGAGCAGCTAAATTATGATGCCTTCACTTACTGTGCTAGGGAGTACTCTCAGGGAAAGAAAAAAGACAAATGACCTAGACCAATTTCCTTAAAAATATAATTTTACATCCTTGTAAATAAACTAATGATATTTGCTACAAGGAAGAGTACTCACTTTTTGAGTATCCTTAAAGGATGGCACAGAATTATATACAGTAAATAAATGTAGATCTCGTGAATTTACAGGGCATACCTTCCTGGACAGTGCCATGTAAGCTTGTGTATATGGGTTCCACAATCTTACCACCTTTGCATGTGTAAGGTGACCCATAATTTTCACTTTGCAACCCTGCCTGTTTTTGTCCAAGAAACTCATGTCCAATATGGAAAGGAAGAATCTAGATAGACACACAGAATATACCACTACTGTTTCTTCCTTGAGATTTTTGATTGTCATTATCTTTGGAATTACGAGTATAGCTTCGTATAGAGATATCTGATTTTTAAGAGTCATATTTTTTTTTCAATGCAATCCTCTATATTAGCACAATCTCACAAATATACCATCAACTGAAGGGGCCAGAAACAGAAGAGCACATGATCTGGTATAGTTCTGTATATCTACCATTAAAATATAAGAAATATAAATTAATGTTAATATGGACAGAATAACGTTTGCCTCAGGCAATAAAAGGAAGACGTCATAAAGGAGTGGTCTGACCTAATGGTAAAATCTATTTCTTCATCTGAGTAGTGGTTATAAGAGGGAGTTTTATTTATAGGTTTGTCAGTTGGTATACTTATCAATTGAGTACTTCTTTTTATATGTTGTATTTCAATAAAAAGTTTATTTAACTGATCTAAGATGACCAACATCATGATATATCCAAGTTAATTTACCAGATTTTTAAAAAATTAAATGTTTGGAGCAGTCAGTAAGAAAGACTGAATCACTCATAGGGGAAAAACAAGTAATAACAGATAAATTTGACCTTTGTTTTTCCATTGCAACATCAGTGCAGTGGAAATATTACAATTACTCAGCCTCCCAAATAAAATTTGATACAGAAATTATATATTCTCATACAGTCATTCCAGTATAATCACCACAGACAATTACTTTGGAACATGCAAATGCTCAAGAAATATCATCCCCATTATACCTTCTTTAAATGGGTAGATATAAATATTTCATGTAATAAATGTAAATGACCAATGCACATATACTTGTTAGTGAATGGGATAAACAAATACGAAAATGAGGAAACATCCTTTCACAATCAAATCAGCAAATGAAGTTTGATAATATCAAAGACTAGCAAGGATACAAGGAAACTGTTATTTTCATAAAACTATTGGGGATGGTATTGACGAATGAAACTTTTGAAAGCAACTGTCCAAATGCAAATGTGCATAGTCCTTAAACAGAAGCTCCACTTCTGGAAAGCCAACATTAAAAAGTATTTTTTTGAGCACAAAGTTAACTGCATAAAGATAGTAAAGGAGGAGCATTGTTCACAACAACAAAAACTGGAAACAAATGTCCTTTAGTGGAAAAGTAAGTAAATTAATTATTGTTTTTTGATTGGTGGAAAACTCAGCTGAGTAGCAACCTAAATGTTCATCACTGGACTTGGACGAATCAGTTTTAAAATGTGGTATATACCCCACAACAGAATATTATTTAACCTTAAAAAGAAGGAAATCCTGGCATTAGTGACAACGTGTGCACCTAAAAGTTATTATGTGCAGCAAAAGCCAAATAGCAGGACAAATACTCATGATCCCACTTATATGAGGAATCTAAAATAGTCAAATTCATAAAAGTTGAGAATTATGGCTGTGAGGGCCCAAGAGAAAAAGGAGAAGTGGAGACCAAAAGATAGTTTAATTATGCAAAATGTTTAAGTTGTGAAGGTCTACTACACAGCATAATGCTTATAGTTAATAATACTGTGAAGTACACTTAAAACATTTTTAAGAGGATACATCTTCATATATATATACACACACACACATATACACACATACATATATATATATGTACACATATATTTCCATGTTTTTATAAGTTGTATTTCAATAAAAAGTTTGTGTAACCGATCCAAGATGACCAACATCATGATATATCCAGTTAATTTACCAGATCTCATATATGTATATTTTATATACGTATTTCTTTTTAAATGATGATTGTGTGTTAGCAAGCAATTTGTAGCCAGTTTCATTGAGGACCATCTATCCAGAGAAAAGGGCAAGTGAAAAGGTCACTTCTCCTTAAGGAGACAGATCAATTGGAAACCTACAAGCATAAAGAGAAGAAATCTACACAGATTTGCATGATTTGATTAAACCTACCTTTACATCGAAAAACTTCACATTCCTGAAAGGATGTAGTACAAGGTTGAGGTAGACCAAGTTCTTCACTTACTTTTGAGCTCATAGCCACCCTTTTATTTCCTAGATCCATCCAGAATCCAGCAGGAGGCTTCTTAATATCAACTCTGTAGCCAAATGCATCTCTATACATGTCATAGAACAATGTCTCTAGTCTATGTGATCCTGTTTTGTATTCTGAAATCTCAGTCTCTTGAAGTGCAAAAAGAATGACAGGAACTTCCCTTTCTTCCTGGAGACTGTCTAGCAGATATGCTCCAGTAACATAATTTTCACTGTAAATCACAGTTATTGTGGGTCCTTGGTTACAGCATTTCTCCAACAAGTTTTCAGAAGAGAATTCATGGACACTAGCCTTGTAAAGAAGGCTAAACTGCTTTCCTCCAAAATGATGTTGCATTCTCTTTTCTTGCAACCATGTCAAACGAGTTGTCACTGCCATACTTCTCAATCTGGTGAAAAATCCAATATAGTTTCCATTAAATATTGAAAATAGATCCATGTACTTCCAAAAGCTCACAAAGCTCACATTTGTTTTTCTTATTAACATAACACAGGAAAGGAACAAACACAAGGTGAGCAAGTAGCAAGAAAAACAATTACTCAGCTTTTCATTCTAAAAGATTATTTTTAGAAATCAGAAAAAAAAGAAAACTTTTGTTTAATTGTAAGGCAGTAATTTACCTGTTTGAAGAGTCTGTATGAGGACTGGAGCAGAAGCTTGCTACTCTGTCCAGAACGCAAAGTAGGCACAAAATGGGAGGGGTAAAAGCTTTGGCAACTTGATGTTTGGGAGACTCAGGAAAGGAAACCGAAACACAGCAAGCCCCGCCCAACTGGCAGTGTGCCCACTCCCCTAGGCGAAGGATTGTTAACTGATCCAGTGCATTTAGACAGTAAATTTAGCTAAATATAATATTAGAAAGAACCTAGACATTGATGTAAGAGATAGGGAAACATATATGTTCACCGACCTAAGAATTTTTTAAAAGGAAATTCAACTAGTTTCTGATTAGGGACTTGTAAAAAAAAATGCCAACTGTTCTACCTCCAAAATACATCTCAAATTCATCCACTTCTCTTGATCTCTGCTATCGATTTTATTCCAAACTAGCATACTTCCTCCTATAGATTACTACAATAGCCTCCTGATTCGATCCTCTGCTTTTCTGCTTGTCCCCTCCAATTCATTTTCCTCCCCATAACAGATTTGTAAGGCATAAATCAAAACCTGTATATTTCACACTGAAGTCCCTTTTATTACTTCACATTGCTGACCATCACAAATCTGTCACATATCCCTTTTAAATACCTTTTTAAAAAATTCAAATGTATATTCTTTACATTGTTGGGCAACCACTCTCCAGCTCCCTGTTGTCCACACAGATCCTCTGTTGCTTTATATCTGACTGGTATATTTACTTTTGCCCAGAAAGGTATATAAGGTGTTCACCCTACTAAAAAGAATAGCAATATCAAAAATATATATTTTAATCAACTTGTAGATATTACTTACTTAGTTTTAAAAATACCATATAAGTTGTTAGATATTTCTTATTTGCCAGGCACTTTGCATATATCTTACTTATATTTCAATAACCTATGAGTAAGATAACCAATGTTGTTGCCAGTTTTCAAGTAAATAAACAGAACCTGAGAGTTAAATGATTAGCTAAAGATCATCCAGTTACTAAATTTCATGGTCAAGATTTGAACAGAGGTATAATGGATTTCATTTGTCAAAACATTTAATTATACATTCTTAAGGTGTGCAATTTGGTGCATGTCAGTTATACATTACTATAGCTTTAAAAAAAAAAAGAAAAAAACTCCACACTCTTCAAACAACATATTACCTTGTTTCTCTGTATTGTAAGGAATATTTTAATACAATCAAACTTCTTGGCCAGAGTTTAAAGGCAATGGCATCCATAAATAAATTTTTTAAATGTACTCCATTAATATGAAAACAAAGTAAAAAAATGTGATCTAAGAGATCTCCATCCTTCCACTTGAGTAGAAACCCCTTCCCAAAAGTCACTGTTAACTCCAATATCTTCAGTTTGCAAAGTAAGTATTAGTTGTATTCCCAACTGTGAATCTGTCTTTCAATAAATACTTATTAAATGCCAACTGCAGATGCCAATAAAGTTCTTGCTCTCAAGAAGCTAGATTCTTCTCTGGGAAGCAGGCAGTCAGCAAACAAATGTCATCTAAGTACAAGTGCTATGGAGAAAAGAAAAGGAAACAAGAGTGAGGAGAGGGAATAATCGGCTGCTTTAGATCTTTCCAGGAGATGACATAGGAGAAGAGTGCTGAATGAAGTAAATGTGAGGACCATGAAAATATCTAGGGGGAAGAGCATCACAGACAGAAAGGCGAGTCTGAATGCCCATGAATGGCAGGCTATTGCAGGAAGTAAATCATTTTGATTTGAGCAGAGTAGGTTTGGAGGGAAATAATAGCAGTGGACACTGTGACTGCTCTGTGGAGAATAGATCATGAGAAGAAAGGACAGGAGAGTTACAAGCCTATTGCAATATCAGTTGAGAGATAAAAGTAGTAGATGCCCACCAGAGCGACAATGATGAAAGTAGTGAAAACTGGCCATATTCAGGATCATTTTAAGCAAGAGAATTTACTATTAGTTTGGGTGTGGGGTGGCTGACCCTGATCCTGTCCTGTATTCCTCAGCAGTCTCCCTCTATTGACTACCCCCAACCCCTTGGCTTCCCCAGTTCTGTTCCTCTCTACAACTGTGTCCAGTTTCTCTTCCTTTTCCCTTCCCAAGATGGTTAACTGTTATGCAGCCTCTACAGAAATGGAAAAGATAAATAGCTCTCTTCTGTTAACATTTTAATCAATAATTATTCTCTAAATTCTCTGTTCAGATTCTTTCATGGCCTTGACTCCAAAAAGTCTACAATGAAAATTTAAAAGGCTGAACATTGTTTCTGGTTGGGTTTTTTTGTTTGTTTGTTGTTTTTTATTTGTTTTGTTGTTTCTGTTTATTCACTCCCTTACTTAAACTAAATTTTCAGGAGGAGATGTGATTCTGGGAAATGAGGGAAGAACATGTGTAAAGAAGTACAGAAAAAAATACATGAATTGCTATCTTCCGATGCTGTCTAACTATATGTGATACGCATTTGAAGTGTGTGAAGTCCTATCATGCAGATGAATTACTTTTTCTTCTTGTTCTTTTCAGTCATGGGATTTAACAATCCCCATTAAATCTAATACTATCTACCTGGCATAATAGAATCTCGTATATTCTGAGTCCCATAAATGCATTTATCTTGGTATACTTATTTAAATTGTAGTAGTCCATTTATAAGTGAATTACTTTCAAACCACACCAACAAATGGAAGACAAATGAGCTCAGAGGCTTAGACACGTTTACTTGCATTATTAAAATCTCAGCAGGCATTATCATAGAATGTGCAAAAAACACCACTTGTTTTATAAAAAATGTATATTTAAATATTATTTTTAGTACAGATCTTTAGTTCATTAGTAGACTTCCGATCTCTGCCCATTTCTGCAATCTCCTTTTGCAGTTTCATTCACATGACTGTGTCCTGAATTCTGAAACAGCTTGTATTTGAATTGTGTTGAGGAAGGAAATAGGTTGAAGTTTACAACATAATAACAAACTTCTATGACATGGTTGGCCTCAGTGTCCTGAATTTTCTTCAACACCAGAGAAAAATCTTGCAATGGTTTACAACTAATGAGATCTGTTTAATCTAAGACCCTCTAATAACTGGTCAGAGACTAATATATTAAGGATGAGCCTTGAAGGCTTTCAATTTCCCATGACATTTAGGGATACCTTGAGGACTTTGACCAGCCTTGCCATCTTATACTTTAGCATCAGATTGAGCTATATCTTAAAAGATGATTATTCATCAACTCATCTCTGAAGTATTGGAGCTCACTTGGGTCCCTCCATCAATTTTTTCATTATTATCTAATTGTGAGCCTGCCTTTTTCTATGAGGAAGTAACATGATAATCCTTAAAATTGTCCTTCTAAAAAAGATATCAGCTTATGTATCATCCAGTACAACCCCTCTTGCTATTTTATTGAGGAAGAGGTTGGGCAAGTTTGCACAAAGAACTTCTATTAGAAACAATCACTTTCTAACACAACAACCTAGCCTATTCACCCAAATCTCACAGGCTTAGGCATTGATGCTTAAGCTGTTTCCACAGCTTTAGCTGTTTTAGGATGATATGCTACCTTGCGCCATTCTTATGTTTTATCTACTATGTCCCTTAGCACTATTTTTAGAAGGAGTTTAGTGACTTTGACTGAGCTATATACTTAGTTTAATGTTAAATTTTGCAAAATTTCAAAACTCCTGGGTAGCCTCTAAATTGTGGTCAGGTGATAAGTCCCATCATCCTTAAGAGTGGTAGAGAAAGATGAGAGGATCCACAAAATTAGGGAAAGTCCCCTCCCGGATAAAAGAGAAGGCGTGGGCTCTCTCTCGTCCAGCGAAGAGGTCCACGGAACAGAGTAGAGGAGAGTGTGGCTGTGGAGTCACTAATCAAGACCTCCGCAGACCAAGCAGGAAGCAGGTCTAATTTTATTGTGCAGTTACCATGTATATATACTCAAGGCAGTAGCTAAGCAGATTACAGGCAGCCACCAATACAATTGCTGCTAACTGTCCTTGCAGCGACCAATTGAGGATTGAGCCGTGGAACAAGCACAGGGACTGCAACACATGGCCTCACATCCAGGGCTGTGCCTTCAGGGTAAGCAGCCTGCTGCTCACATCATGCCAGGCACGAGGGGAATGACCTGCCACTCAGATGCCCTTAACGTATGTCATGTATGCAGTACTCCATGCACTTGTCCCTACAAGAGAAGTTTCTCCCTACTTAAAGCCCTCTCTCTCACCAAACTTTTCCATCTTAAATTCCAAATGGACATTTAATTCCACTGCATGCTTATATTCCTAAAACATTATAGAGCATCATTTTGCTACTATTTTCCTCTTTAGCACAAAAAGGAAACTTAAAGTCTCTACATTCATGTTCCCAGATACTGTGGTTCACAAGTTCAGTGCCTCAATGTTTCTTCCTCTTCACCTCTATAGTACTTCCTGCTATTCCTTTTCAGGATCCCTCTCTCCTACATAAAATTGCTCCACAGCTACCCTTAATACAGAATAAAGAAGCCCCACCTTCTGTCCAGATGTTTTCTTGGACTGCCTCATTCACATTGTGGAACAATGGTTAATCTTCCAACACCTTCAGTCTCTCCCAAACCACAAGGGCTGTGGCTTGTTTTGTTCCTCTGGATCATAAGGAGACAAATGTGCCTTGCATTTTATATTTATTCTTACTATATACACATAATAACTCTTCAGGTTGCCCTCTGCTTTTGTTCTCAAAACTTACTTCTGGCTCTAACTGTCAATTTCTATGACCATCCTGTTTCTAGACCTTGTTTAAAGACCCCATCTCTTCCTTTGGATCATGGCTCCCAAACATTTACTTGAGCCCAGCTTCACCTGCAGCTGTACTTTAAGAACATTCATTTTCCCTTGCCTAGATCTAAGAAATTCCAATACTCTTAATACCTAGAAATAACCAGGAGAGACTAATTTTGATTAAATATAAATTAGATTGTTAGAATATAAGTAACCATTGAAGCAAAACATTTTTGAGAAATTGGAAGAAGAGAATTATGAAGCCTTTACAGGTAAAAAAATAACTGAAAACTATTTTGGGGACTTGTTTTTCTTATTGATAGTCTTTACTGATAGTTCTAATTTTGACAGCTATCAAGAGGACTTCAGAATCATCTGGTCACTTACATAAGACAACCTTCTTATTAACTTACAATGGTAACCTTATTTGATCATTCCACTTTGGATACATGACTAGGATGGTTTGGAATTCAAATGAAATCAGGCACAGTTATCATTTGAGGAAGAAACTTTATTTTTCACAGAAATAAAACACTAATTTGTTAAGAAATACAGGCTCTTTTTAATTTACATTCAATTATTTAGAGATTCATATTTTCATCCAGAGACAAGTAAAATACTTTCCCTCTGATATTTCCATTTGTTCTCTTCAGCCTTTCATTCTCTTTGCCTTCCCTTCTATATGGAGAAATATTTAAAGTAAATGTTACTCTGGAGAGGATAGGAGAGAAGAGTTATCACGGGTATGCTTGTGTATTATCAGGTACTATGCTAAGCTCTGTGAATACAAAGAGACAAAACCCAAACCCTGTTTCTCAAAGAACTCACAATATATATAGAAAAGCAGATATCTATCTAATCACTTTATAATCAGTATTCAATGTGATCAGAACTCATATAGTTACATAAAGTGCTATAGATGAATGAGTAAGGATTTTGCCTGAGAAGGGTGAGAAAAGTGTCACAGATACTAAATTGTAAATGGTTCAGAAACATGGAGAGTAGTTTGTGGCAGGACATATCTTGGGCCACCACTTCTCAAGGATTGACCTTTGGGTTGGTCTGAGGAGTGACTGATCCTATCAGCCATCAGTTAGATGTTGTCTAGGGCAGAAGGCAAATCAGGAGCAACAGCAGATGCTGAAGAAGGACATGAACAGATGGACTGGGGCATCCCAGTCTAGATTTGTGCCAAGAGTCAGAATCCAGGCAGCTAATTTCACTGGGAGAATTTTAACAATTATGAACTTTCATCTGAAAAGAAAACAAAGGGGCAGAAATGAAGCATCTCTTCAAACACAACTGTCAGGACTAGTCAGGCCCCATCCACCCAATTTAAGTATAACTTAAGGTTTTTCAAAAAACACCAGTGCCTTACAAGAGGAACAGAAAAAGCCCAGCTTACCAATTTCCTCAAGAGGCAAGTCCTCCAAGAAGTCGTTTGCAGCCCGCAGCATCTGCCTCAGTGCAGAGAGAATCAGAACATCCTTCATAGGGTCCAGCTCCCGCTCTGAAGCATAATTTCTAACCATCAAGATATTAGAAAGAGGAATGCCTAGCATTTGGTTGATTAACATTACCTGTGGAAAAACGTATTTAAAAAGCATGTCATATTTGAAATTTGACTGGATTTTAAATAATATCCAAGAAACTGAAAAAGCCATAGCTTGATAAATTCTCTTCAGAATGTAATTATAATTCAGAAAATTATTGTTTAAAAAAAGTATAAAGTTGAATAAGCCAAGCAATTGATTCCAATCCTTTGCCTTTGGATATGTTGTGTGAACACACACATACACACACACAAACACACATACACACACACACACAGAGTATGATTCTGATACTATTACTATAATATCCAATTACAAACAGCATTCTTCACCTGGTTCCAAGAAGTCATCTTTTTTGTCATGTTTAGAAAGTTCTCTTGAAGAACTTCATCACAATCATTCACTTTAGTAAGTAAGGCTACATGTGCTACACCTGTATCAAACAGATAAATCTGTTATTTTATATCATAGACAGCAATATGTCAAACAGGTAATTAAATTGTGTGAAAGCCACTCTATGTAAGGTAATTTTAAGAACTGGAGAATGAAATATTCTCAGTAAATCTCAATATGGAGCCTGAATTTCTTCTCAAGGATAAATGTTTTTTCTTCCAACATGAAAGATCCACCTTTTTTTATTTCTTGCATACATGACAATAGTGGAGTGCATTACATTCATAATTATCCATTCACAGCACAATTTTTCTTAACTCTGTATATAGAGTATGTTCCTTTTAAATACAACTACATTTGCAATAATTGCAAAAATCTACTCTCCCATTCAAACTGTGTTCTAAAGTCGTCAACAGGAGTAATAGTGGTTGCTGTACTCGGAGAACTAAAAAACAAACAAACAAACAAACAAATAAACAAAAAGAGAGAGAGAGAGAGAGAGAAAGTGAGAAACACTGTGATCATATACCAAAGCAAATGCCTTGATATCACAGCTCCAGTAAGAATCCACTACATTCTGCCTCAAACCAGAGACTGGAGAAATAATTCATACTTGGCTTCTAAACTTACCAAAGTTCTGTTTTGCTAGCAACTGCTACCAAGGAAAAAAGGATAAAATTAACGTTTCCCAATATCAGTCAAATCTCAGGATGTCCTAAGACTCCTTTACCAGAGCTTTTAGAAATCTTGTATTTCTAATTCCTATTACTAAAATGACTGTCTTCACTTTAGTCTCTTTATGTAAGTCCCAGGTAAATAACTAGCAAAGTTAGAAAATTCTTTCCATTAAATGCAGCCAAAAAATTCTGGGCATTATACATAAATCAACAACAAAAACTGAAAGGTGGAGAGAAGACACAATGGCTAGAAAGGTTGGGAACAAAGAAACATTCCAGAGGTGGCTTCCCTAGGTTTTCTTTTCAACACATACATCCCAAATTCCCTGCTGGAGAAACCCACAACCAGGAAAGGTCAACTAGAACTGGAAAAAAAGAAAAGAAAAAAAAAAAAAAAAGAATCTGGTCTCTCTAGCTAGAGCTTTAAAAAAGGGCAACCTAGCAAGATGAGTACTTTCTTAAAATGGCCACACTACTCCAGCTAAGTACTACAGAAATAACTTCAGCCCTACCCCATGCAACCACCTTAGTGATCTCAACAGAGGCTACTGGGGATTTTGGACATCCACCACACTAGCAATAATGAGTCATCCTCCTCTCTTTCTCTGGCAGTGTTGGGGGAGGCCAAGTAACAAGCTTCTGTGATGAAGGCCATATAAGAAGAAGTAACAAAGTGCCATGCCCCCCCAAGGGCCTCATGGGTTTTCCCCACTCTACTGGTGTTAAGAGGGTCTGCTAAAACACAAGGTCTAAGTAAGATCCAGAGTCCCGTAACATAATTTCTGAAGTATCCAAGATATAATTAAGAATTATTTCTCACATCATAAACCAGGAAAATTTCCACTTGAATGAGAAAAACTAATCAGAAGATCCTGATACCTAATCTGATGAAAAATATTTTTGAATTATTTGGCTAGAACTTTAAAGCACAATTATAGATACACTTAACAATCAAATAGGAATGCACTTGAAACAAGTAAAAAATAGAAAGTCTTAACAAAGAAATAAAATATATGGAAAAGAACACAATGAAAATTATAGACATAAAAAATATATTACCAAAATGAGAAAACACACTGGATATGGTCAAAAGCAGAATAAAGAATACAAAGAATCAGAGGATATGAAGATATATTGATAGAAGTTACCCACTCTAAAAAATAGCCAATAGAAACAAATAAATAAATACACAGTAAGATTATGAAAAAGGATCTAGAATTCCTGTTTTCAGAGTCCCTGAAGAATAGAGATGGCACAGCTAAAAATAATGATAATGGAAAGAAAAATTGGCTGGGAGAAATTATTTGCAAACCATATATCTAACAGTGGACTCATATCTAGAACTTAGAGATCTTTTCAAACTCTACAGTAAGAAAAACAAAAACAAAACTCAATAAATAGTTCAACCTAAAAATAGGCAAAAGCCATGAAAAGATGCTTTACTGAAGAAGAAATACAAAAGAAATAAGCACATAAAAAGGCATTTGATGTCACTAGACAAATTATAATGAGATATTACTATATACCTATTAAAAGAGTTAACATTGTTTTAAAAATTAGAAACAATACAAAATATTAGAAAAAATACAAATAATACTATTACAATACTAGTGGGAATATATATTGGTACAGTTTTACCTGAGAGTAACTCGGTAATTTTTTAAAATCTAAACATACACTTTAGATCCATGCTAGATAAATGAAAATGTGTATCTAAAAAAACTGGAAGCCATCAAAATATCTTTTGATAGATAAGGGTTAAATAATCTGTGGTATATCTATACAATGAAATATTAGTCAACAATAAAAATAGTGAACAATAAATGCATGCAACATCTTGGATGGATTTCAAAGAATATTAAGCCTAGTCAAAAAGGCTGACAGAATATATGATTTCATTTACACAACAGTCTCAAATGACAAAAGATAGTAGTGGTTGTTAATAGCTAAGCATGGTGAAGAAATAGATACTATCATGAGGGAAATGTTTGTTTGTTTTGGTTACCAGGGATTGAACCCAGAGGTTCTTAACCACTGAGCCACATCCCCCCCCCCACTCATTTTTTATTTAGAGACAGGGTCTTGTCAAGTTATTTAGGGCTTCACTAAGTTGCTGAGGCTGGCTTTGAACTCACAATCCCCCTGTCTCCCAAACCACTTGGATTGCATGCATACCCATTGTGCCCAGCTGAGGGAAGTCTTTATAGTGATGGAATAATTCTGTATCCTGATTGTAGTGACAATTACATGAATCTACATGTGATAAAATAACATATAACCATGCATGTACATTGTAATAATGTCAGTTTCCTGTTTTAGATCTTCCATATCTATAATCACATAGCGTGGGAAGGTGACCCCCAATCAAGCCACAGGAAAATAACATCAGAAACAACTATAGCCAATGTAGTCTTTAAGTTCTTAAGATTTATATATTTAAGGCTTTCCTTAGGTCAAGCCTTTGAATGAGCTCTTCGTACTATTGCCACCAAACCCAGGGCTCAGGAAATTGGGTAAAGGGTGCATGGGGCCTCTCTGTACACTCTTTGCAACTTTCTGGACATATAAGTTATTCCAAAATGAAAAATTTTTGATATGATGAGACTCACCACATTTTAATACTTCTTCATGAATTTGTTTGAGCTTTGCTACCATTCCAGAGGAGAGACTCTTAATAGAGTTGATGTCCAAGACATAAGCCACACAGTGAATCCGGTCCTTCAGTGACGGAGAGGTGATAAAAGTAGGATGCTTGGGTGTGATTGGATTAAAGGGATTAAACTGTTATAGAAACATAAAATAACATTCAAAATTCAGCCTCCATCATTAAAATTCACCACCACTAACCTACAACCTGAAACTATCCCTCTGCTGCCCCAGCTACTCCTTCCCCACATCAATCATACCCCTTTCATTCCTCCTTTCCACTATGAACAAAATATCATTATAATATCTTTCTTATGGAAAAAGACCTTCATTCCTTTGTTAAAAATGATTATTATACACTGTATATATCGAAGTTAAGTGCAAATAACGCTTTAGAAAAAGCTAACTTAAAATTCTAACCTCCAGAAATAAATGATATTAACATTTGTTTTATACCATTTAAGACTCCTCTTTAAATATTTTACATGCTGAAATGGACTAAAGGATACAGATAAAAAGAGAGAAAATATATACTAAAAATGTCATTTTAACTAAAATGCTATAATTTCTTTGAATTTTGCAGAGGGAAAATAAACTGAAGTGAAACAAAAGAAATGTCAACTTTCAAATTAATGACTCCTTAACACAAGACAGTAATCTTTCTAATATTCATAAAATGCATTAAAAATCACAGGAGTTTGGAAATGTGTCTGGTTTTGATTATATTTCAATACTAGGCTGAACTGATTGATTCACTTCTACACAAATTTAGTTAGCATGCTCATGCTTTCTCTCATCTCCCTGCTCTGTTCTCTTCCCTGAATCTTTAAATCTTCTTTTCCCTGACCAGATTGAGAGCTCGCTAAGAAAATGAATTGTGTTTATTTAACTATGCTTTTTGCAGTAGCTGTCTTCATGTCTGGTAAAAAAACAGAGTTTTAATAAGTAATTTTTGAATGTCTAAATAAGAAGATAAAAGTTCCCAGTCAAGCACAACTGAGAGTCAATGGAGGTCACTGTTTAGAAACTGAGGCTTATTCTATCATACCCAATACCAAAAGGAAATACAATAAAGGTTAACTTTTTGAGTGTTTGCAGTGTATAAGCTCACCTAATATTATCAGCCACCCTTTGAAGTGGACACTGTTTCATACATTTAAAATGAAGACATGGAGAGACAAGTATGTTAACTTGTTTGTAGGAGCATATCTAATTAGCAGCAGAGCCAACCTTTGTATTTCTAGTATTTCTTTTTCTGTGCCTGTCTTTCACTTAGCATAATGTCTTCTAGGTTTACCCACACTGTCACAAATGACCTTTGTATATAGCTTTGTACTAGTAAATTCTAAGCACTTATGGTATAATATTTCAAAATAATGTGGTTAATTGTTCAATATATTGCCTATATGATCAAAAAAGAATAAGAAATTAAACAACAACTTTACTGTTGATTCACATAATTATAAAAAGTGATATAAACAATATCCCCATGACCTTTTCCTTGAATTGAGAGGAGAAGAGTCTTGCCTTTCAGCTTTATTTCTCAATGGTATAGACAAGAACAGCAGTGACCCTGCTTTTCTTACATGTGTACTAACTCATCTAAAGTGGTCAGTTGATATTGGAGTCACATTATGACAGTTGAAATTGTCTTGTGGGGTAAAAGTTCAATGACTAGTAGTAATGAAAATGGTTTGAAATGGCTTATAATTGAAGAAATCTTACTTGGTATCTGTCAGGAACACAGCCTTTTAAGATGTAGGGTATGTCATCCACGCACAGTCCTTCATCATCTGTCTTATCCAACCCCATCGAATCACACAACATAAATGGAAGATATTGTCCATCTTTTCCATCTTTAACAGGATATATCCTATACTGTAAAGGAGTCACATTAAAGTTCATTTTTTAACTAATATTCAAAACAGAACAATAGGAAGAACAGTGGTCTTCAAGTATTTTGACTCTCAGTTGTGCTTGACTGGGAACTTTTATCTTCTTATTTAGAACAATTGTAACACAGTGGTCTTCAAATATTTTGGTCTCAGGACCCTTTCAAAGTCTTCAAAAAATACTAAGTATCTCCAATATGAGGTTCTATCTGTAGATAATGGACATACTATGAATTAAAGTTTTAAAAAGTTAAGGTTTCTTTTAAAAAAATAGATAAAATTGTAAGTACTTATCCTGTACAACATAATGTTTTGAAGTATATATACATTGTGGAATGACTAAATTGACATATATATAGCCTCATATCATTATTTTTGTGATGAGAAATTTTACATCCCCTCTCTTAGCATTTTTAAGAATAAAAATGTTATTGACTGTAGTCACCATGCTACAGATCTCTTGAACTTATTTTTCCTAACTTAAACCTTACATCCTTTGGCCAACACACACATCTCTCAACCGTGTCAAACCAACCTTGGCCCCTGGGAACCAACATTCTACTATCTACTTCCATGAAATCAACGTTTTTAGATTCCATATCTGAGATAATATAGTATTTCTTTTTCTGTGCCTTTCACTTAGCATAATGTCTTCTAGGTTTATCCACGTTGTCACAAATGACAGGTTTTCTCCTTTGTGATCCCTGAACAATATTCCATCACGTACGTGTACTATACTATATTTTATTTCTGCATTCATCCACTGCTGTACACTTAAATTGATTCCACATCTTACCTGTTGTGAATAATGCTGTAATAAATAAGGGAATACAGATGTCTCTTTAAGATATTGATTTCATTTCTTTTGACTGTACACACAGTAGTGGATTTGCTGGTCATATCGTAGTCCAATTTTTAGTTTTTTGGGGTTTTTTTAGGAAAACTCCACACTGTTATCAATGATTTCTGAACATTCCCACCAGCAAAGCACAAGTGTTACTTTTTCTCATTTTTACCAACACTTGTTATTTTTTGTCGTTTATGGATAGTAAACATTCCAATATAGGTGAGGTAGTATCTCATTCTGATTTTAATTTGTGTTTCCTTGATGATTAGTGATGCTGAGTACTTTTTCATATATCTGAGAATCATCTGTGTCTTCTTTATTAAGAAATACTGATTAAGGTCCCTTGCCCATTTTGTAAAGCAGTGTTTTCTTGCCTTTGAGTTATTTGAGTTTCTTGCATAATGTGGATATTAACTCCTTTTCAGAAGTATAATTGGCAAATAGTTCTTTCTGTAGATCATGTCTTCACTCTGTTGATTGTTGCCTTTGCTGTACAGATGCTTTTTGGTCTGATGCAATTCCATTTGTCTATTTTTTTTCTGTTGCCTGTGTTTTTGGTGTCACATCCAAAAAAAAATGGCTATTCAAACCAATATCATGAAAGTTTCTCCCCAGGTTTTATTCTGGTAGTTTCATAGTTTGAGATAAAACATTTAAATATTTAACTCAGTTAAAGTTTGATTTTTTATATGGTGTGTGAAAATGGTCAACTTCAATTTTTTGCCTTGTTCATACACTTCTTCTAATATGAATTATTGAAGAGACTGTCCTTTTTCTGTTGTGTGCTTATGACACCTCTCTTAAAAATCACTGTATACATGTATGTAGACTTATTACTGGGCTCTCTATTCTGTTCCATTGGTCTATGTGTTGGTTTTTATGCCAGTACCATGTTGTTTGGTTCACTATAAATCTGCATTGCATTTTTAAGTTAGGTAGTATGAGGCCTCTAGCTTTATTGTTTTTCTCAAGATTGTTTGGCTACTTCAGATCTTTCATGATTCCATGTGTATTTTAGATTTCTTAAATTTCTGTGAAGAATAAATGGGCCTAGGTTTATGTAACAAGGACTGCATTGAATCTGCATGTCATTTTGGGTAGTGTGGTATTTTAACAATATTAACTTTCCAATCATAAACACAAGTTATCTTTCAATCTATTTGTCTTAACTTGTTTCATCACTTTTATAGTTTTCAGTTTAGAGATCTTTCACCTCCTTGGTTATATTTATTCCTACATTATTTTTAATAACTGTTGGTTAGATTGTTTTTTCTGGATTGTTTTTTCAGATAATTCACTGTTAGTGTGTAGAAATACAACTTATTTTTGCTTCTTGATTTTGTTTCCTGAATTTGTACTAAAATTCATTCATTAGTTCTAACAAGCAGTTCGGTAGTTTTAGCAGATTTTCTATATATAAAATTATGTCTGTTTACAGGAATATTTAACAACTTGCAAATTTGGCTGCTTTTCATTTCTCTCAATTCTTCTCTAGTTGGGAATTTTAGTACTATGTTTAATAAAGAAGTAGATTAAGTAAGCATCCTTACATTGTTCTAGATCTTAGAGGAAAAACTTTCAACTATCCCTCATAAGTATGACATTAGCTGAGAGTTTGTCATCTATGGCCTTTACTGTGTTCAGGTACAATCCTTCTATACCTAAATTACTCAGTTTTTATCAGAAGGGAATGTTGTATTTTTGTCAGATGCTTTTTCTGCATCTATTGAAATGATCATTGGTTTTTATCCTTCATTCTGTGATGTGTCTCATTATTTTATATATTATATATATATTGAAGTATCCTTGCATCCTTGGGATAAAGTCCACTTGATCATGGTGGATGATGTGAATGATTTGGATATATTCGTCTAAAGTTCTCTTTTCTTCTATTCTTTGTAGTTTGGTTTGTTTATTTTAGGGCTTGTTTGGATTTTGTTTTGTTTTATCTGGCTTTAGTATGAGGGTGCGGCTGACTTCATAAAATAAGTTTTGAAGTACCCTTTCAAATTTTTGGAAGCATTTGAGAAGAATTGGTATTAGTCTTCTCTAAATGTTTAGTAAAATTTGGCAGTGATCCAGCTATACCATCCTCTAGGTATTTACCCTGAAGATTTAAAGTCATCTTACTACAGTGACAACATGTTTATAGCAGTATGATTCACAACGCCAAATGATTAACTGCTTTGGTGTCCATCAACAGATAAATGGATAAAGAAAATGTTATATATACATATATACATACACACACAATGGAGTTTTATTCAGTCACAAAGAAAAATAAAATTATGGCATCTGCAGGAAAATGGATGAAGCCAAAGAACATCATGTTGTATACATATACAAATATGCAACAACATATCTCATCAATATGTACAACTATAATGCACCAATTAAAAATTGTGGAGAAAAAAGAATTCAGCATTGAAGCCATCAGGTCCTTAGCTGCTCTTTGAAGACATTGTGGACTGAATTTCCTTACTTTTATTGCATCTATTCCGTTTTTCTACTTCTAAATTATTCAATATTAGAAGGTTATATCAATGAATTTGTGTTTCTTCTATGTTATCTATTTTGTTGACATGTATTTTTCATAATAATTTCTTAGGATTCTTTGTATTTCTGTTGTGTTGCTGTACCATAAAGCTAAATTTCAAGCCCTATGTCTTAGTTTTGTGGTTACCATGTGGCTTACAAAAAAAAATCTTAATTTTTTTTATATTATTATATAACAAGTTTTTGTTTGTTTGTTTGTTTGTTGTTTTGATACTGGGTATCATATCCCGGGGCTCATTACCTCCAAGTTACCTTTTTATGTTTTATTTTTATTTTGAGTCCCTGGGTCTCACAAAGTTGCTAAGGCTGACCTTGAAATTGCACTCTTCCTGCCTCAGCCTCCTAAGTCACTGGGATAACATAACATGCACCACCATGCCCAGCTATAACAAGTTACTTTTAAATTGATGGCAATTTAACTATCATAGTCAAAAAAAAGTAAAAATAAAAATAAATCCTCCTCATTTTTATTCATCTATGTTTCCACCACATCTTTTTATAATACACTTCCCTTAATAAATCATTGTACCTATTATTTGTAACAGTTTTGTCTCTTAACTTTTAGACTAAAGTGATTTACAAACCATTAAACTATTAGAGTGTTCTAAATTTGACATTACCTCCTTTTACCAGTGAGTCTTCTAGTGTTGCCTGTTTGAGTTGCTCACTAGTGTGCTTCTCTTTTAACTTCAGTAATTCCCATTAGTATTTCTTCTATGGTAATTAAATACCTCCTCTTTTATTTCCCTGAGAAAATCTTTATCTTCTCTTCATTTCTGAAGGACAGCATTCCTCATTCCTTGGTACAATATTTGTGGAGAAAGTGTCCCCGTGTCAGCCCTTAGAATACATTATCTCACTCTCTCTTCACCTGTAAGGTTTCTGCTGAGACGTCTTCTGCTAGTTGATTTGAAACTCCTTTATGTGTCATTTGCTTTTCTGTTACTGATTTCAGAATCTTCTTTGTATTTGAATTTTGACAGGTTGATTATGATGTCACAGGGTAGTCTTATTTGAATAATATCTAACTACAGATCTTTGACCTCCCTTAACTGGATAGTTATATCTTACTTTGGCTATGGAAAGGTTCATGAAACTATTTATTTAAATAATTTTATATCTCTTTATATTTATCTTTCCCATCTCTAAAGAATCAAAATTTCTTCCTTTGAAGCCATCCCATAAGTCCCATAAGCTTCTTTATTCCTTCCCATTTTTTTTTTCTTTTCTGAGAGTTTAAACAACCTATCAAGTTCACAGATATTCTGTTTGATCTATTTTGCTATTGATACTGTCCACTGAATTTTTAAAAATTTTTCAATGTATTTTTTTCAGCTTCATAAATTGTTTGATTTTTAAATTTCCAATTTCTATTAAATTTCTCATTCTGGTCACATTGTTCTTATTTTGTTTTCTTGAAATTTGCTGAGATTCCTTAGGACTGATATTTTAAATTATTTGTTCAGTAGGTCATACTTTCTATTTATTTAGGGTCAGTCTCTCACCCTAATAAATAGGGTGGTTAAAATAAAATAGTGATTTAATACTTTTGATGATAAACTATTTCCCTGATTGTTCTTGAT